ATATATATATATATATATGGAATACCAAATCCAAGAACCCGGAAAATAAGATAAAAATCTATTTCGACCCCGCAAATCCAAGTCTGCTCGAGAATGGGCCCGGGCCTGGATGATGCGAACCTCGGCGGGCTTTTTCCTGCTTCCTAAACCCTACGGTTTTGGGTTTAGGGTTAGGGCCTCAACTTAAATCCTGCTTTCGAGTTCCCCCTCACCCTAATTTCTAAAGCCTAAACCCTAAGCCACACTAACATAGGCCTTTTTTGAAAGTTCCTTTCCAGGCTCTAGAGTAAGGGTTTAAGAAGCGCTCACAAGGTTTTCTGTATGAAGGTATATAGAAGGGCCTGAGGCCTTGGCATAAGGCTTTGGTGACTTGTTCACAGTGCTTCTAAGGGCTTCCGAAAAAAGGGGCCTTACCTTCTAGAGTGCACTTGCACAGGTGCGAAAATGGGGATGCTATTGCTAATTACTCCGACCTTCACAGGGGCTTCAGGTTTTCATGTATTAGGGCTCTCTGCATACAAGCTAGCCCAAAAACAAGCCGTAAATGTCACATTGCCCTTGGGCCCGAAAGCCTCAGACTAACGCTAAACCCGAAATATGAAACCAAAGCGTACCCCGGGAGAGGAGGCAACTGTTCAAGTCCGAGTTCGACTTCGGCAACCGGTTGTAGAACTCAGTCTTCGAGTCCTGCCACTATTTATTGCTACGACGACGATGACCACGATGGCGGCGACGACGAGTACTAGTACCAGTACTAGTACTAGTAGCAGCAGCAGCAGCAGCAGCAGCAACAGCGGTAGTAGCACCAGTAGCAACAGCAGCAGCAGCATAGTAGTAGTGGTACTCATAAAGGCAGCAAAGCTGGCACTGCTGCTCCGTGACGATGTAATTGCCGTCCATCACATCGCATCCTGGCAGTGGCATGGCAATCCATATTATTGTTCGAATCTCACGCAGAGGAGATTAAACTTCTGCGGCTGGGCTACAACAGTAACAGTACCGACAGCAACAGCAACCAACTACGGCTACTGACTACTACTATTATGACAACTACGACGACTACGACTACTACTGCTACTGCTGCTACTACTACTACTACTACCACCACCACCACCACGACTACTACTACTACTACTGCTGCTACTGCTACTGCTACTGCTACTAATGCTACTATTACTACGACGACGAGGACGACGACGACGACTAGCACTAGCACTAGCACTAGCACTAGCACTAGCACTAGTACTAGCACTAGTACTGCTACTGCTTTTGCTACTGCACTCTGCTGCTGCTACTGTCACCACGACCACTACCACTACCACTACCACTACTACTACTGCTACTACTACTACTACAACGACGACGACGACGACCATAACGACAACTAATGACGACACCTAATACGTCGATTACGACTATGCCTATGCGTGCTACGAGTACGATTAGCATGCGACTGCGACTGCGGCTGCGAATGTCACCGCGACGAAAGCAACACCACAAACGTCGACGCCTGTGACTGTGAAGGCAGCTGTTAATTACAGCTACAGCTACTACGGCACAGGAACACGTGCCGCAAGATGCCTTACAGGATGTCGTCGGCTACATCTCCGTTCGGAACCTTGTTGGGGTGAGTTCCTTGTGTTCTGCAGGTGCTTCTGTTTTGAAGTCCACCTTGTAATGCAGGCGCTATCCGGCTAGGAAGGTGATGACGTTTTCGCTGTCTACGTCCAAATTTTGGATTCAACTAGGAACATGAAATCCGAAAATTTAAAAGCTAAGCCCTTTGCCAAGCCCTTTCCCAGCCTTGGCAACGAATTCAGACCCCCCACTTCAAAACAACAAAACCCTGAACTCCCCGCCCCAAGAAACTACACCCTGAACTCCGAAATCCAAAACCTTGAAACCTAAAACCTAAACCCTCTAGACCCCATCTAGATCCCTTAAAGGAGCCCTTCTGAATCCGAACTTTCCCCGATGCCCCTAAGCCCTCCAAGCGGCTCAGAAGAGGATCTTCTGAGAGGATCTGCTCTTTGAGCCGCGCGTAGGCCAAGGCCTCCGTGGGAAGATTTTTGGGTTTTTGGCTTCGTAACTTTTACTTTTTGGTGGTTTCCGAAAATAGGGGACCCTACTATAGTACCCTAAATAGTAGGATCCATATTTTAGGGACTCCAAAATAAGGTACCCCAATTTTCGGAAACCCCCATTTTTACTATTTCCAACTACTTGCTACTGCTCTTAATACTCTTGAATGGTATTTTTCCGTTAGCTTTTTGCGACAAGCCTCGGGAGGTGCGAGATTTTAGGTTTAAAGAGTTTCTTGCGCTTCAGAGGCTTGGAGTTTTTTGGGGCTTTGTAGGTTCTGAAAGTTCAGCACTCACAGCTGGGACATGCCTGGCGAGGCTTCCTGGTACGACGAAGCACAGGTTTGAGCAAGAGCGGGGGGGGGGGCAATGGTCTCCAATCTTACAGAAGGGTTTGGCGACACGAGGGCTCCTCTATACGCGGTCTTCGGTTCCAAGGGGTCTTCGATTGCCGGTTGAGTGGGCTCCAGGACTTCGATTGTAGGTCGGAACTCCGACATTCCGGGGGCAGCCTTTCGAGAAACACAATCAGCCAAGCGACAATAACAAACACAACAGAAACCCCAGAAGTGACGCGCCGCTCAGCGAAGACTGGGCAAGGCAAAACTCAACCCTGAAGCCAACTCGGCGCCAAGCTACGAACCACTCAACGGAACCCGGCCCCAACAAAGAACACATAAGGGGAAATCCTGAACCCTACGGCCACAGACGGGTTCTGAAACTCCAAAGCGGCGCGGATCGAGTCTCCAAGGGTTTAGAGCGAGAGGCCCAAGGCTCACGAATGCCCAAATGGATTCCATGGCAGGTCTCGCATAGGGCTTAACCAGCAAAAACAACTCTTCGCCCCAAACACGTCCGCATGGGCTCCGAACTTATTATTTCAATGCGCATCCTGCGAGGCAAGGTCGCACATCTCTATTGTATTATGCATTCTAACAGGCTGCAACACCGATCTACGTGAACCTCTACTGAAACCAAAGAAACCTACACCCTGCACCCATAAGCCTGACCTCTGAAGAGCCCTCTACTTCAACAGAAATTCAGGGCCAGGGTACGTTCTGCGTCCGGATGGGGAGGTTGCTAACGGATGCCTGGCAGGAGGAGCACGGTTAGGGTCTAATTTAGGGTTTGGATATTCATGTAGAGATGGGGTTTAAAGGTTTGGGGTCTAGGATGTACGGGTTGCAGTCCCTGCTCAAAAGAAGGATTTACGGGATGTAAGAGCCGAAGAGCTCAGCAGCAAACCTTGCTTGAACAGGGTTTACTTTTGAAGCCTGCACTACACCTCTTTCTGCATCAAGACTTGTGCAATCGCCTACAAGTCTGAGCACACGGAACCCCTAACCTCTAAACCCTTAAACTAAATCCTAAACCCTCAAACCCTCAAACCCTTTAACCCTGAACCCTTAAACCCTACTATCATAAGCAAATCTTAAACCCCAAACACCCCTAAACTGGCTCTCAGCCCTTCTAAGGGAGACCCTAAATCTCGAGGCAGAGAAGCTCACAAACTGCAAATTCCCCGAGAGAATAGCTTGGGCTTTGTCTTTCGGGATTCAAGGTGTTTGAGGTCGTAGGCTCTTGTTTAAAAAGGGGCTTTAAGGCTTGGGGTTCTTAGGGTTTTGAGGCTTCAAGGCTTAGAGCAAAGCTTTGAACTCCCTTATTACACGCAACTTGTCAGGCCCTTTCATTTCGTCTCTGAGTCGTAAACACTGCATATGTCTGCCTCAGATGGCTCCGTGGCCGTTATGAGAATGCCACCTCCGGAGGTACCGTGCTCAAAGGCATACCTCGGCTGCGATTAAGCTTTCGGGGTAAAGACTCGAGAAGTCTTATAAAGGGGTTCTACGAATCTCTCTGGGGCTGATACTCTCCATGTAAACACAATCCTACATCTATCAAGGATGATGTTCAGAAGATGCCCAGTAAAAGCCCAACCTAGAATCCTAGAACACAGGTCCCCGGTCTGCCACAGCGGGGATCAGCGGAAACTTTTCTGGCGCCGGAAGCAAGACTGGGAAGCCGACTGCCCAGGCCCAGCAATGGACCTTGCTCAACTTCATCTTTCAACATCACGATCACCATTACCATCATGCCTCCATTGCCATCGCCATCAAGACCGCCACCGCCGCCACCAGAACCATCGTCTTCACGGTGTTCATAATCATCGTACCATCATCATCATCATCCTCATCATCACGTCACCGTCGTCATCATCAATGTCATCGTCGCCATCATCAACGCCATCGTCGTCATCATCAATGTCATCTTCGTCACCATCAATGCCATCATCCTCGATCATCATCTTCACCATCGAAACAGGCAGATAGATAGGTAGATGGATAGATAGGCAGACAAACAGATAGATAGTTTGTTAGATAGAAAGATAGATACAAACAGACACAGAGGAAGAAGGCTAGACAGCTCGACCAACTGATAGATGGAGAGATGGATAGATAGACAGACAGATAACAGGTTAGATAAACATAAAGATACACAGATAGAAAGGCAGGCAGACAGATAGATACACCCAGTTCTCTTTCTCCCCCTGCGCACACACACACACAAAACTCATGATGACAAATGGCAATGAAGCAGCAATAGAAACCAAGTCAGTGACCATCGTCCACTGGTGGCGATAAGTATTTTTTGCAGCAAAATTACGGCCGCACCTACGAGGACCAATAACTGCAACTACCAATGCAACTGTACCAAACAGAGGAAGGTACTACGCATCATCTCAGTGGCAACACGACGACGTCGAAGACGGTGATGATGAAAACGACGATAACAAGAGCAATAACAACAACTGTGACTGATTGTAACTCGAATGCAGCCACCGGTAGTCATGTCGGCCGCAGTCGTAACAAAGGCGCGCTGACTTAGCCATACCGTGAATAAGGGCCATGGTGGCAGCACGGGCAGACGTTCATCCAATCCTACTGCAGCTACACCAAAACAGGCCTCTCCTCCCGAAGCAAGGACTAGGTGACTAGGTTGGCCGTTTGAAGCCTCTGAAAATATTCGTAAATAAGATCCTCTAAAACCCGAGAAGGGCTTACCATCAGCTCATTGACTGGAAAACCAAAGTCGTTATCTCTGCAGCCACGGCGCGCTGCATACCTCATGACTCATGAAGATGCAGGCTATATGCGTGATTTGAGGGCAAGGGCAGGGGCAAAAACAAGTCATCATTGCGGATGTCCTTGTGCACGATCTCTACTTGCATAGTGCAGCCGCTCTCTTAAACCTGTAGACGGTGATCCACGAAACATGCCGCACTGGTGAAGCGCAGGCAGTTCAACCCCGGACGCACGAGGCAAGGCGAAAGCCTCCTACGGGGGTCAAAAAGTTGCTTCCGACACAGTTCAACACGTGTTCCGGGGTTCTTCATAAATCCGTGAAACAGGCAAGGCAGCGACTGGCCTAGTACAGAAGGTTTCGGTTTCCTCTAGTTGATTGAACTCCAGAAAATGGCCTTCCTCGTTGTTCCGTAAAAATCCGATGTGGAGAGCCTCGTGCCAGGAGGATCTTGCACACCTTCTGCATTCGGTATTAGGTACAGGTGCACTTGCTGTAGATTAACTGTGCCATCGATCTTTATCCCTCACTGGGACATATCATACGGGTTATTCGGTTGGCATGGAAGGAAGGTGCAAGGGCTTGAGATACCCACCCAATGTGCTCTAAACCCGGAACCCCAGCACCCCTAGTCCCATAGCCCCCGAAACCATAAACCCCAAAACCTAAAATCCTGAAACACAAATGCCTTACTGACGTCGTCGGAAATTCTCGGACTGGCCCGGTAACCCTGCACTGCGTCTTGTAGCAAAACCCCATGTGAAAGGGTACATTAAGATTCCGGGGCTTTGGGTTTTTTCCCTCTCGCATGACAGAGTACAAAGCTCACAACCGAGGTTGGGCTTACGGTTTGGGGTTTAGGGTCTGGGGTAAGGGAACCTAATCTTGGAATTTGTGGGGTTAAGCTTCGGGGTTCTTCTAACCGTATGTCCTTTCAGTTGACATCCAGTGCCCGTGTACCAAATGAGCACATTCATGACAGTTCAGCCTAAAAACAAAAACCCTCTTAACAATCCCAAACCCTGAACTATTGGTGCCTGAACAATTAGAATACGGATTCGGGCATATAATACTGTGATGAGAATGAGAAGCCCAAGGAAGTACTACTAGCACTTATCGCGTCCAAACCAAAATCCCTGCAACCCAGATGGCCTGGCCTGATCTCCCAAAGGTGGTAATTAAACTCAATTTGCTTCAGCGCTTTTTTTGTCAGGGAGGACCCCAACGAGACTAGCCATGAACCCACAAATAAACAACGCTAAGTGCAAAATCCGAGTCAAAACGTTGAAAACCGAATCCGAAGCCCAAGAAGCCCCAGCCCCCCAACCCTGAACACCTGATTTGAGGGCCTTAGTAAGTAGAGTAGGGCGTTGGGATATACTACGTAACAAAGGAACCCTAGGAATAATCTTGCAAAATATTGCCGCCCCAAGAACACACTATACCGCCCTAATTTCTCCTGAAACAGTTTCAGGAACATTTGGAATGTTTGCGACCCCAAACAAACATCGTGGCAGAATGCGTGTTGAGGCCGGAGATCAACGATTCCCCATCCGGGCCCACCTGGCATGCGGACATGCTGCAAATCTGTATCATGTTACACAAACATATATAATTATCAAAAGAGTCAAACATACATACATACATACATACATACATACATACATAGGTTGATACAACTTTACATTCTTAGATATAGATATAGCGAGAGGTTCAGATACAGAGATAGCGATAGAGATACGATCCAGATAGATACGAATAGGGGAGCTTTCGTGCTGCTATTACACACATACAGTGATACAAATTTAGACTCATAGATATAGATATAGCGAAAGGCTTAGATACAGAGATGGCGATATAGATACGATGTAGATAGATACGAATAGGGGAGCTTTAGTGCTGCTACTACACACATACAGTGATACAAATTAGACTCTTAGATCTAGATATAGCGAGAGGCTTAGATACAGAGATAGCGATAGAGATACGATACAGATAGATACGAATAGGGGAGCTTTAGTGCTGCTATTACACACATACATTGATACAAATTTAGACTCTTAAGATATAGACATAGCGAGAGGTTCAGATGCAGAGATGGCGATAGAGATATACAGCTAGATACGAATAGAGAAACTTTATTGCTGCTATTGACTTTGCTTTTCCACTAGTGAAGCCTCAGTGACGGGTATAATGGGGACGGAGGAGATTTACGGGCTTGGTAACTGGGGGTCTTTATCTCTTTTGTGTTGAGCCCTATGCCGTAAACGTTGCATAGGCTGCGCTGTTTTGAAATCTTCGTTACACTTCTGGAAGCGATGGCACGTTGAGGCTTTGGAGCTCTGCTTGCTTTAAGGCACGGAGAACGATCTACACTCTAAAAATGCTTTACTTTGCGTGGTTGGAGTGGCACGAGCGGCCTCGAACAAGGCGTGTGTCTGCAGTGCGCCCCATTTTTGTTGGTTGCCTCCAGCCTGCAGAAGCCTCTGCTGGGAACCAAGCGAGGGGCTCACAGCATACCTCCAAGTCTGCAGTGCCACTCATCTGGCATGACTTCAGCTTAAAGGATGCAGCAGTGGACAACTCCGAAAGCCCATCTGCCGCACAGGAAATGACTGCATGATTTGTATCCAGTCCACATGATTTTGAGAGAGACTGAAATTCACTACGAGGAATAGATACTTCATCTGACAAGATTTCACGGACGACACTATATCCGAGGCAAATCCTAAAGCCTGACCCCTAGACCCAAAAAACCCTAGCCCCTGAACCCCAGCCTGGTCGTCAGGATCCAAGGAGCTGCCCAGGAGTTTGGATGCCCAAGCGGGATCTAGGGCCAGAGGTTGATCCTTAGATTTTGCATAGGTCGGCACCTTCTTGCGAACTCATTCGCATTGTGCCTCTTATTCTTATTTGCAATAATTCTTAAACAAGATGATACTCGACTCATTAAGGCCAACAAGGGAAAATATCGAATATCCCACTTGCCTCCCTACTTTCCGGCTCCTGCGACAATCAAGGGCTCTGGCTGGTTCCTGACCTTCAAGTTTGTAAGGGCTTTCCTGTCAAAGCTCTATTCTGCTTGCAGAGTAAGCCCTAAACCCTGCTCGACTTCTGGAAACGGCTTGAGGTTTTGCGACAATAAACTAAGCCGACTAAGCCTCTGTGGATTTTCATTTTCGGGGCGGGTGGAGACTGAGGAGAAAGCCACTGGTCGTTCCATGTGTGCTCTTGGTAGGGTGTTCGCAAGCGGCTTCTTGGAGTGGTCAATAAAGAAGCCGTAACGACCAGAGCAAGGTTGTGCGAGCAATTATGGTATAAGTATGCAAGGGACCTCCTCCTCCTCCTACTTCTGCTACTACTGCTACTACTACTACTACTACCACTACTACTACTACTACTACTACTTCTTCTTCTTCTTCAGAGCTCTGCAGTGGGATTCCACAGGCTAAGGCCAGACTTGGGCACGACAGGGCTTCGTGAGATCTGTATGCTTGGGACGGTCCGCCCTTCTGAACTTTAGGGCATAGGGTCTCGGGTTTAGGGTTTGGGTCTTTAGCATTTACAAGAGTAGGACCGCGCGTCCAAGCAACACGTGTTCACAGTTGCATGTGTTAATGCTGCTGCTGGTACTGCTACTACTAGTCTTACGACAACGAAGACGGCTACGACTGCTATGACCGTTCGTCCCCTCGTGGCAACATGTAACATCAGAGCGTCAATACCAAAGCATAAGATCCTGCGGTAGCTCAGGATTCAGGGTTTTGGGTTTAAAGGTTCAAGCTCAGGACCTGCAGGGCTCAGTGTTTACTCAGGATTCCACAGAATTCTACGTCTTGTTGCCCGTTTTTGCCACATGTCCACAGCTTCGCAGACGTTTGGGGGGATGTTGGGTTCAAGAGGCAAGTTTCGGGTCCTCGATACGGCTTACAGGGTTTAGGGTTGTTTTCAGTGCAGCGACAGTGAAGGCTGCCGAGTTATATGAGGTTCTGATAGACGCGTAGTACCGCCTTCCTCCCTAGCCCAAGAGCTTTAAACTCTGAAATGAATCCATACACCACATGAATAGGGAGCCCTGATGTACGGTTTAAGGTTTAAACAAGGGGGCAGTAAAGAACAGTGTTATTGACTAGTCAGGCCCCTTTTGTTACATCTCCAGCATTATTTCTTACTTGTCCGGCAAGTATGCCAAAGGTTTGCCGTCGGACTTTATTGGGATCATCATGCCCAAGATCGCCAAACATCAGCATCAGTAAGAATCCTAAGCCCTAAACCTAAACCCATTAGCCAGAAAGATTCCCTGAGCCGCTGGCGGGCTCCAGGAGGAAAAGGCCGCCGAAGAGACGGGCCTCTCTCACTCTTCCAGCAATCCAATCACGGTTTACCGGAACCCTGAAAAACCTGTCCGCTTTCCGGGTTCTTGTTGTGGGGTTTCCTTCTCACGTCCTTAACAAAGCAGGGTTTATCTGGGGTTAAGGTACCTTTATTTCACATTTCACATTTCGGAATGATTTGCTTCCGCAACAGCGACAACTGAGGGAGCATCTATTCAAGAACTGTTGAGCCAGAGTCTGACTGAGGAAATATATACAAGCTTGCATTCGCTCCACATCTTCTTCAAGGCGAAACAAATACTCCAAAAATGCCTGGCGAGACATAAGCTGTCACCAGTCACCCAATAGTGAAGCACTGCCTTGCACTGTACCTGGGCACTCACACAGGGCATGCCTGACAGCCACCAGACAGGCCGCACACCAAGGACAGCAGTCCCGAATAGTCCCGAAGGGTGGGAGCCTCTGAGTGCTGGCAAATTGAAGCCCATCGGCCAGAACAGCGAACAAACAACCGAGTCCTTAGCGAGGATAACGTACTCGTCCCGAGATCCAACCTTGCCAGTGACAAAAGAAAAGCATTACCCGTAACAGGGATTCGGTCGTAGCGAAACCCAAAACCCTCGCAGACTTGTTAAATTTGCTCACGCCTCCACACGTCATCATATGCTTGGATATGTGGAGCAACGACATGCTTTCGGTACTGCTTGATGAGTAAGCGGGATCGCTCTTCGCCATGGCCACCCCAGGAGCATAAGAAGAATGCTCAGTGATTTGTAAAATCCAACCATGAGAAGAGAGGCATGTCATGTGCTGGCACACATGCGTTATCCATGTCATCAAGCCAGTGAGGGTAGCTGCCCGTGCCACCACCGCGGCAGGGTGATCATCTGGCAGGCATTGGAGTCTTGCCAACATTGCGATGGCAGCTTCCAGGACAACCGAACCCAACCGCGCTTTCCATCCCAGCTGCGACGGCGGTAAGTGCGCTTTAAGCTGATGCCAGGGTTGTAACCCATGATGCCAGGGTTGCAACCCATGATTTCCAAAGCCCACTTGTACTGAGCAGTCTTCAAACCGATTCGAAACCGGGGGGGGGGGGGCGGCAAAACAAAAAAGGTGTCCTGTACTTAACAGTTGCGTTGATGCGAGACGGCATCTTGGCTGCGATGGCGGTGAGGGGAATTCCAGCGCTAATAGCAGCATTGCAAAACCCTGAAAGAGCCTGGTTGGCATGGGCAACAACAGAGCATAGGTTCCATGCTCACTTGGTCATCCAGCAGGAATCCAAGGCAAGTGTGGGTGGAAGCGACTTCACATCCCACTGCATCCGGGCAAGGGGTTGACTGCTTTGAGGGACCCTGCGCTCGGGCCAGGCATACTTGTTTCGTCGATGTACTGGACAGGGCCAAAAGCAACATGCGACCTGACAGCTTAGGCAGCAAGGACAACCACGAAACCGTAAGCTTACAACTTTCAACCCCAGGTGACGAGTCTGCAGCCATAGCAGCCTCCTGAATGCTGCAGATTGCATTGTGCAAGACTCGTAGGTCTGAAGGTACTTGCTCCAAGTCACGCGCTGGAATGGCATGATCAGCTTCAATCAATGCTTGGTGTCCGAACGGAAGCCAGACAGCACACGTACCCTGCGTCACTGCACCCTCCAAGGCATCGCGTAAATCAACCGCGAAAGCATGGAGCAGAAAAGACGAAAACCGGCGACCTTGAGCAGTTCTTTGTCCCAATGAAACATTGCAGAGATAAGCCCGTGCAAGGACACAACCTGGGCATCAGTAGCCAAGATGTCATCCAGCAGTAGCCACCAACAAATCCTTAACACCCCGGCCCACAAAAAGAGTCAATCGCAGGCTGGTTCCGTTGCATTTAAAACTTGAGCAATGTCGGAACCAAAAGAAACCGGCCTCAAATTACCTAAGCGCCTGACCATCTTAGGACCAGACTTGCGTATGGGGCATATCATTGGCAACATAAGAGTGATGAGGTTACCCCGACGCACACTGCCAGATTCCCCAGAAGGCCAATGAAGCGTTTGCTTTCTTCGCATGCTGCTTTCAGCGACGCCGCTGTTCCATGCAACCATCGAAGGAATCCAAAATCTCAGCAATACTCATGTGCCGAGAGGGCAGCATTTCCTTCAGCTTCAGCACTATCATGGAATCCGCCATGAGCCCGAATGCGTGAGACCAGCTTGTTGGTCCATTGGTTCCTGCTGACTCCACAGCAACAGAGCATTGGGATACCTTGTCCTGCAGGTCGGACATCACAAGTGTAGCCATTTCATGCGGCCGGAGAGGCTGTCCAGTACCAGGGAAACGAACATGCTTAAGCCATCCGTGTTTGCAGAAACACAACGCCAAATCCAATTCTTAGTTAGCTTAGGGCTGATTTCTTTCATCACCAAGACGATGTGCGTCGCGTGTTGTTCCCACCAGGACAGCTCCGACACGGCGTGCTTAAAATCAGACAAGGAGTCGTCCTTTATACAAGCCGTATCGAAACCCTTCTAGATCCATTTAAAGAATAGGACTGGGGTAGGGTTTAAGGTTTAGGATTGTTGGCTGAGGGTGTCAAGCGGGAGGATGCCTGCAAAAGCAGACTCGGGTTTTGCAGTTTAGGGCTTAGGGTTTAAGGATCCTGTAAGACAACAAGGGATACTTGCCTTATTTTTTGAGGCCCCTGCGCTTTGGGGTTTAGGGTAGGGCGTGTGATTCAGACTCTTTTGGGGGGATAGCATTTTGGGCCGCAGGGAGACTTGAGTCTGGTGTTTGAGGCTTTCAGAGGTTATGGACCTATGGACTAGGGTGTAGGTCTTCGGGCCTAGACCCTCAGTCCTAAACCCAAAGGGCATTGGTGTAGGGTTTGCAAGGTCTGGGGTATCTTGTACTATGAGCGGATCGGAACTAAATCAGGGGACACTATTTCCCACTGAAAAATGTGATATGACGGCCCTGATCATCAAGACCTCGCCTGGGAAACAAGGAGCTCATAGCGGGCCGTGTCCACCACCATGGCTGCCTCCCCCAAGCAACGAGGGCGCCAAAAACATAATTTAGGCTTTTGGTTATAGGGCTGAAGGCTGCGAATACAAACAAGGCCCAGGGTACAAACCACAGGCGTGTTAGGGTTCCCCTTAACACCGAACTCCCTGAATCTCTAGACTCTAACTCAAAACTCCAAACTCGTGGTGCCGGTGCTGGTGCTGGTGCCGCTGCCGCTGCCGTTGCTGCTGCTGTTGATGATGTCATTGATGTTGCCCGCGGTCGCAGTGAGGTGGTTGTGGTGGTGGCGGTGGTTGTGGTGGTGCTTGTGGTGTGTCACTATGGTTTCTTTTGTCGTTGTTGTTGACCCTTTATAGCATTCACACTGCAATACATGAGCCGGGGTGTGGTGAACCCAGGCGTTTACGGCTTCGGTCGGCCTGCTTATCCTCCAGCTCGATAAACTTCTCATCCAAAACCTGGCATAGAGCACAGGGACACCAGCCAAGTTGTTCATAATCGGTTAACGTTATCACTATCATCAAGACTGCTGTCTTGTCTGCCATCATCGTCGTCATCATCCTCATCCTCCATAGCGCATCGCCTACAGCAGTAACACTTCGACCAGTGCAAGCATCGTCTGCCTCACAGCCATAAATACTTTCATGACGACGAGTACTGTTTCCTGCTGCGCTGGGGTGGTACTTCTGTTGGTCGTGGTCGGTGCATGTTGTGAAGTTGATGCACTTTGCAGTCCTCAGTTCTGCAGACTTCGCTGCGTCTCGTTTGACAGCCTTTCATTGCTCAGCTTTGTATGCGCCTGTGCCGCCCGACTCCATGACTGCCATGATCCACCCGGGCTACGGGGGTGCCAGAATCGAAAGATACTCTGCATATTGAAGCTCAGAATAAGATCTTGGTCCGACTTGGGCGCAGCACGATCACAAGCCTTAGTTCCTGCGAGCCTATCCCAAAGAATCCCGAACCGGTGTCCCAAACCAACACAGGCTCCGTGTTCTTTCACCGCGTCAAGGATAAGCCGAGGCTGTTTTCGAGGCTCCAACTTAAAGCGATGAGATGAAGTAACTTCGCACTGTAGTTATTTGCAGATGCTTCCCGTGTTTCTTGATTGTGGAGCCCTGGCCACAAGTCTTGCGAACCAAAAGAGGGACGAGGTGGGCCCTCGCCCTGCAACCCGGAAGCCTCAAACATTGGAGTTCAAAGCCGGCGCGAACACTAAACTAACATCCTAAAACCCTGCATAAAACCCTAAACCGATAGAGTCCTAACACATAACACCCTAAACCCCAAAACCGTTAGAGCCCTCCACCCGAACACCCTGAATCCTAAAGCCTGAAACCGCTGAAGCCCTGAAACAGATCTGAACTTCGATGCTGAGGGAAGCCTTAAAAGAATCCTTAAGTGAACCTCGAAAGGAATCCTCAAAAGAACCCTCATAGAACCTCAAAGGAACTCCTAAATGAACCCCTTGACTCTTTTGCTACTGGACTCAAGTCTAGTCTAGCCAGACTACGACCTGCAGTCATCTTGGCCCTAAACCCCTTGACCCTAAACCCGTTTGCAACCAGGACTCTCGCAGCCAGCCGGACCCTAAACCCTAAACCCTTGAAGGAAGCCTGAAAGAAGCCCTGAGCCAAGCCTGCTGGAAGCTGAGCGGCTCCTCTGAGGTCTTCTTTAGGTTTGTTTGCTGTCCCTTTTGAAGGCTATAGGGGTTTAGGGCTTAGGGTTTTCCTGGTGTGTTCATTTAAAGTTAGGGGTTGCAGAACGAATTATAGTGTACATGGTTCCGAGTGTGACATCAGAACTCATCGCTCAAACCTCGGGTGTGCCTTATTCGGCCGCTTCAGGGCTCCAACTCATCAAGGATCCTACTATACAGGGGCTCTTTTTGCCCCAAAGTCTATCTGATCCTTACTTGCTTGTTTCGATGCCTCTTTACCCATTGACTTCAACGCCAACTCCAAGAGCTGCCGTCGGTGGAGATTCCCCGTGGGAGCGGACTCAACTCGGCCCGATGCAAGCACTTACATTGCAAGACACTTTGGGGGGGGTTTAGGGTTTAGGGCCTTTAGGGTTTAGGGCCACCTGAACCCTAAAGCCTAATGTAGAGAGAAAGGAAAGGCTGGTGCCGGCATTGTCCTGCAGCTGAAGTGCCGCGATGATGTTCCCCGTGCCGTTGCCGGTGAAGCAGGTTCGAAACCTGCTGGAAAGATTGCGTAGGGTTGGAACATATAGGCCTTAATCGTTAGACTAAGGTTTTTGAAGTATGTTATGCTATAAAATAAATAAAGTAAGGAACCCTAAGGAATAGAATTGCAGACACTTCAGACCCCGATACTACAACAGACCCTGTACTTCCAAGGCACCAAGCCGCTTCAGCACACCCCCAGGTCTGCTGCTGGGGTGAGGCACGATGGACGCCCGGGCATGCAAAACACACAGGAAAAAGCCTAAAGCCATAAAGCCCTAAACCCTGAACAGATTAAAGCCTTACAGCCCTAAACCTTCAAAGCCTTCCAGCTTAAACCCTCAAGGATCAGCCCTGAAGCACCGAACCCGAAACCCATTCCGAAGCCCTCTGGTCTAGGCTTTAATGACTTGTGGCTTTGGCAGATGGTGGCCCAAGTCATGATCCGCAAACTCATTTTCTGACAAGGCTGGCTTGTTAGAATTTCTAGGTAAGAAGTTGTTTCATTAAGAGTTTCAACAGAAAGCACAACATATAGACCACTGACAAAGTCACATATGGTTGCGAAGCTACGGCTATCCTGGTCTCTGCTAGTGTGGTGACTTCAACTGCTACACTGTTCAAAGAAGACGGTGTTTCTACTGATGATGGTGATGGTTGTGATGATGACCCATGATCACAGCGACGAGAGGATGTTGCTAATGCTCATGATGCTGCTGCTGCTGCTGCTGCTGCTGCTGCTGAAGCTGCATATTGTTGTATGGCCACTGCTGCTGCTCTGGTTGGTGTTCCGTTTTCATGCACACTAACAGCCCGCAATACCACACGTCCTGAGATGCCGGCACATCTGTGGCGTAGGGATCCTGAAATGACGGAAAATTTGGGTATAGAGGGATTAAAGGCTTTAACGTCTCAGGACTGAAAGCTTTAAGGCTCTAAATGACGCTTGTCTGTTTTTGGGTGCAGGGGATGCAGGCTACAGAAAATACAGTAGGGTCAGAAGAAAGATTGTAAGTTCTGCATCCCCTGTCATTCGTCTCGTTTCTCCATTCTAAAAGGTCCCTGGTCTTCTTGCTCCGCGACCTCTGTTGTCCCTATGTCTAGAGCAAGGAGGTTGCAGAAAGCCCCCGTCGTCATTGACAAATCAGATGCGACGACTGGCTAACAACGCCTTCGGATCGTTTTTAGCAAACCTCGAAGCCCTGGTTCCCCCCAGAATGTAGGGAACCTCATATAAACTCTGAATAGTCTTGAGCACAAACCGCCTGAGTGAGTCACCCGAATGTTAAAAGAAACCACCAAAGTCAATGCAGGAGCCAGGGCGCGATGTTCTGTGCTGGATCTGCTTCATTGTAGAGACCAAGTTGCCTCCATGCGCAGGAATTTCAACAAGCTGGGGTCTGCTCGAACCGGGCTTGAAGGGTGCGAGTAGGTATGCCGAACGAACGATGCCGTCTCTGTCCGAAGAGTTCAAGTTTAGAAGTTTCGAGCAGCCCTACACCCCCAAAACCCAACTCCTCTCAATGGGGTTTGTAGGAAGGTTTCCTTGGGTCTCCAGGCACAAACAAAATTCACAGAGGACAGATGATCCTATTCACTAGAGTTAGTCCTTTGTATGTGTATGTGTATAGAAATACACATGAATGTTTTGTCTTATGCTTTCACGGAATCGTGTTACATTAGATCAGACTCGGTTTAGGTTTAGGTGCAGATGTAAAGATCAGATTATAGGGTGTATGCTACAGATACTGTGCTGGGACAAAATATACTTCCCGGGTTCTAGTCGAGTTTGGGCCTTGTGCTAATGAAGATGCTACCATGCATAGAGAAGGCGTGGGCGAGCTTAGCTTGTGCCGGGAGCCATGCAACTTAAACAGCTTTGACCCAAACGCTCAAACCACCTGAAGCCCTGCAACTTACGTGCCCACTGGATGACCCCTGTTTTGAACCGACTCTGCCAATCAGCCGGGACGCAGCACTTCCAGACTATTGCATCCTCCTAAACCATCAGCGACTTAAGGAACCTTTGTATTTGCGCCAACCCTTACAGGGGCTCCCGGCTGATAGTAGTCGGAGATGCCCCCATGTGTGAGCAAGTCATAACGCCAGAAATGGCACAACTCAGACATGGGTACCGCCTCGGTCGAGAATTCATGAAAGGGCCTGTAGGGGCTCAAATTAACAGACTCGAGTCTTGAGGGTTCTATTTCCGATCGCATAACATCATAGATGCCAATAACATACCGAGTGTTTGAGGGTTCCTTAACGATAAACAACCACCCAAACTAACTGCTAGTAACTAAACCCCAAGCTATGATCGCACAACGGAGCCCCGAGGAGCATCCGGAAAACCCTAGGCCCTAAAGCCGCTTTTTGCAGCTTCAGGATGCAGAGCCCTCGGTCTCCTCTAGAGATGACCGGTGCTGCGAAGGGAAGCTCTGTTCCAGAAAGCTGTTGGGGTTTTGGGGGTCAGGGTCCACCTGTAGCCGAAGAGACCTACATCTCTTTAGGGTTCCTTATGATGCTGTCTAGATAAAGTTCCTGACATATGTAGATTATAAGGCCTTTGAGTCCTAGGATTGCGGACGCTAGACCTTAACGCGAATCCTACACTGAAGGACTGCGACCATGCGCACCCAGCGCAAGACTTACCCTGAATACCACGCCCCTGCAAGCTAACGCTAGCAAGTATTGAGGCTCCAATATTCCACCCTGACGCTGCTAGATTCCGGCGGAATTTATCGGAGAGCCCAAATTCCAGCTCCACCGACACCTTAAACCGTCCAAATTGCAATGCCCTGACTCGCAAACCTAACAGGATTTAGGGTATAGGAGCCAGTATAGGAGCCCTTAACGCTGGGGTTTAGGGCCTAAGTTTAGGGTTTCGGCAACCAAAGCTTAGCCTTGAACGTCCACGACATCCAGAGCTGCGGGGTGTAAAGTTGCTTGTTTGTTTGTATTTGGGGCATTTTGGCTGTGAGGCTTCAAGGTGGATCGGCCTTGGGAGGCTTGGGGGTATACGGCGAGAAAGAGGGACCGGAAATCTCTAAATGGGAATTGCAGGAGATGTTACAGTCATAATAACAGGGAGCTCGGAGGAACAGCAGTACTCATGGTAGGCTTCTGTATTGAAGTGTAGACCCTTTGGCTTTTGTGGGTGCTGTCTGGCGGCCTGGCGAGTGCAGGGTTGAGCAGCAGACACACACACACACACATTTGCCAACAAGAGGGGGCAGGCCTAAGGTCAGGAAGCCCAGGCACTACATTCCCAAATCCGTAATCACCGAACCCATGCCGCCCTTTTTTGCGTAAGCCTCAGCCCCCTCAAATCCTAAACTTGCAACCACAATGGACTGGGCCGCGTGCCACTACAAGCAACCCTCCGGCAAAGAGCAGCCCGAAACACAGGGCGCAAAAGCTGCAAAACCTCATCGATTTTAGTCTTTTTCGGGGTTGGGGCTTGGGGGGAAACAAGGCTTTGGCTGTTTCGGCTTAGGGGCTTCGTTGTTTCTGGTTCCAGAGTGCAGATTTGAGAATTTGTTTTTGGGGTTAGGGCTGAGGGTTCGAGGAGCACAGGAAGTTAACTCACTTGTCAGGGCTTGAACCTGAGCCTCGCAGTTGGGGATTTCGGGGGAGCTGCGACTTTTGGCTTAAGGCGTGGGTTTTCGCTTTGCGGGCTCTGCGTGGTTTCAACTTTACTTATTGGGTAAAGGTAAAGGTTGCCTTTGGAAAAAAACATCAGTCAGTTGAAGAAAGTAGAATGCTACTGAAGGGACCCTAGTGCGTCTCCTGAACTCAGAACTTCAAACCGATTCAAACCCAAGAACCCCTCGTTTCATACATCGGTACCCTCGAATGCACCGGGGAGCCATGAGGCACAGGAGGGCGATGCGCTCGGGTAGGTCGCCTTGGATCTCCGGGCATAGACGATCGTCCCAGGGTTCACCTTTTCGGCGTTCGGCTGCCAGGGGGTTGACGACTGGGTTTTGGGGCTGTGACTGAACATTGCAGCTACAAGCTACAACCTCAGTTTGCCGCCACTCCGACAATTTCCAGACCTGTATGCAAAAGCGCTGGGCTTCTCGATATTCCAATTGCTCGGCGTGTTCACTAACAAAGCTTGGTGGCTGCAGACATGCGTTCGTTTCAGCAGGTTTGAATGAGTGTTGAAGCAGCCGCGCAGGCCCAGGTATAGGCTGCTGGGTGCGCACTCACGATACAAAGAAACAACAAACAGCCTGAGTAGAGTCGTAAGTCCACACACACGCTGGTAGCCCGGGGCTCGGGTGGTGAGAATCTACCACTTCAAAACGGGGAAATTCAGATTCAACACTTCTTAATACCCTTGAACCCCCAAATGGCTCTGAAATACTTAAGCATGGTTCCTATTGTTTCAGCACTAAACCTAAACCCCTGAGCTCACAAACATCAAGAAGCCCTAGGCCTACACAAGCAGCGTTGACCTCACGCCGAAACCACCGAAGAAAAGCACACATCAGGAGAGACTGAGGCTTGAGGCCCTAGCAGAGGGGTCTCGGTGATTGGAATAAGCTTTTTGGAGTCCTAATTATGCAGGGACTGGGTTCAGTGGATTTTAATATGATTCTTGGACCCTTTTTGCAAGTTATCCAGAACTTCTGTTCTGGAAATTCAGACTTTCTGCTCTGGAAATTCCATCTTCCTCACCAACTCCCTTAATCCTCTCCTGAAACCATGAGCCCTCCAAACCCTGAAAAGGGCCCCCGATTAATCGGGGCCCCTACAGCCTAAACGTCAAATTTTGGAACCTGGGCCCCTGGCCAGTAGGACGAGAACTGCGGTGAAGCCAGACAAGGCCAGGAAGGCGGTGTGCCGGGCGTCCTCAAACGGCTCGACTACATAGGCTTAGGGAAGGGTCGAAGAGTGTGTGTAAGGTGTAGGGTTTGGGGTTTAGGTATTTTCAGGTTCGGAGGCCTCTGTGTCACATGACCGTGATTTATTGTCCTGCTGTCGTGCTTGCGGCACCAGACATCACCACAATCATCATCATCATCATTATTATTCTCATCATCATCAACAACATCATCATCGTCGCCAACGCATCATCATCAGCATCATCATCATCATCAGCACCATCCTCACCATGGTCAAAAGTCACCGTCATGACCACCAGCATCATCATCGGCATCACCATCATCACCACCACCGCCACCAATACTAGCTCCTTCACCATCACTATCAACCCTCGCTGTCATCATCATCATCATCAACGCCACTGCCGCCATTATCACTATCATCATGATACGGATGTCCAATCGTCGGGGTCGGGTCATCGTGTTCAAGTCCCCAACATCATGAACCTTGGCCTAAGGCTAAACCCATGCTAGACCTGCGCTTGAGACGGAATTACTCGTACAACTAACATCCGAAGGCTTGCTACTCAACTACTCAACTAACTACTACACACCTGTACTACAAGATCACGACGCTTGAACATACGAGGTTACTACTGTCCCGCTACAGTACTGACCATGACACTATAATGCCATATACTATGCTACTTACTACCATAGCACACAACAACTAGTGTAACGACGACGACGACAACGACGACGACGACCACCCCGACGACGACGACTACTACTACTGCTACTGCTACTGTTACTCCTGATCCTCCTCCTCCTCCTCCAGCTGCTCCTACTGCTCCTGCTGCTGCTGCTGCTGCTGCTTTAGTTTACAGCTGCGTCCTCGACGGTCTGGAGGGTGTAGCGCTGTCCCAGAAACATCTCGACCTCCCGCCAGCGATGGACGTGATGAAAGAAAGGCCTAAAGACGTATACGTGTATGTGCAGTTGGCATGTTTCCGAACGTCTGTGAAAGACCTGGTCGAGAGCTGCTCACATGTCGAGCTCATCAAACTCTGCGATGAAAGGGCAAGCCGGGCAAAAATTCTGAATTAAGGAGCAAGACTTGAAGAAGCTGTCTGCAACAGGTCATGACGTCTGCAACCCTGATAAGCCCTCACGTGCATCAGAAAAGCCTTTGCCCCGAACACTTAAGCCAAAAATCCACATCATTATCTCTACTTCAGCTGAAAGCCGCATGGGGTTCAGGGCTTCGCGCTACGGGCAGAAGGCAGACGGAGCTCAGGATGTAGGAGCTGAGGGGCTCAGGACGTTGATATTTGGCCGCATGGGTCACCTTGTCCAACTTGTTGGCGTGGCTTGGAACGAGAATCTTGTAGAAACCAGCACTTTGGACAAGGCGCTAAGCCACACGCAACCTAGGGCAGGGGTTTAGCGATTAGGCTCCAGAGGCTGAAGTGCCGATATTGAAAAAACCGAGTTAAAAGTCCAAGACAAGGCTAGTTCCTGAAAAGCCGCGCGGCCAGATACGTGCGTGTGTGTGTTTGTGGGTTGGGGCTTGGAGCCTGGACAGGATCTTTGTGTTCAGGAAATTCATGATCCTAGTGCTTCGGAGTTTCGGTGGCTTGAGACTCCATTGTCTAGGAGTGCTCTTGACTCGAGCCCTGGGCTGCTTAAACCCTCGGGTTTAGGGTTGGGGACTGAGCTCAGCTCGAGCAAAACCGAACGACCCTAAATCCCAAAGCCCTAAACCTTAAACACGCCCTAAACCCTAAACTTATACACAAGCCCCTAAACCCTGAAACCCTGTAGCTACTATAGCCCTAAACACAAGCCCCAAAACCCCCAAAGCCTAAACGCTTCAACCCCCTATGAACACTCAACCCCGCTGAGTAGGCTGCGAAGCTTCCCGCGGTGGCCTGCTTGAAGACCTGTAAAAAAAAGGGGGTCCAAAAAAAGGGTTCTATCACAGGGCCCTTTTAAGGGGGCTCCCAAGCCTCTGCCAGGAATAATCAGGGTTTCGATAGGGTCTTGATCTAGAAGCCTTAGAAGGTAAGTAGGAGCCTCCGGGAATAGTCTTAGCAATTTTTTCCGCTTCTATACTGGTTGCTTGGCTTTCTTGGACGCAGTGTCAACGATTGCCAGTCGTCCGTATTCAGATTTATGTAGGGGTACATCGTGACAGTCTTCGGGTTTCTTGACTGCATACAAGATACCGATGACTTGCGTGCAGTTGCAATAGGTGTATCGCGCAGTCCATACAGATACACGTGCAGTGTGATCCAATCATTTCTGCCATAAGTCAATTGCAAAGGACCGTCACCCGTACGGACCCTAATTACGCTCTTAAGGTCCTGTATGAACTTCGCTTCGAGACTTGAACCCTAAAATCCCTAAACCTTAACTTTGACCTTCCATTGAGGTTGTTATGCAAAACTCACGGCAGACGGGTGTTCCACAAGCCCCAGGCCGAGGCTTCTTGATTCTTTAGCCACAGAGATCCACCGGCCCGGTGAACTCCGAAATCCTGGGCCATGAACCCCATTGCCTAAAACATGGCCTGGAGAGGCTTTTAGCCTGCAAGACGGCGTGAATGCGCGGTCGCCAGTACCATTGAGCCAGAAGCTTCCACTTCTTCTATGACAGCTGGATCGATGCATCTGCGCTCCGCGGCCACGTTTCAGTCTTACAGGGGATTCTGGCTCCCTACCCATGGGCTCCATTGCAATTCCTTTCTGTGCTTTGTATTTAGGATCCTAGAAGGTAATCCCAAAAAGGACCTACAATGGAGCCCATGGGTAAAGCTCGAGTCCTCAAGTCATCTCAATCAGCATCGTTGCACTTCTCGGTCCTATCGTTTTCCCAAGGAGACCTATTGTGCGTGAATCTTACTATATGGGAACCGCACTTTCTACTATGCAGGTACTTAGGGCCCCCAAGGGCTTGTGACCCTCAGCGGGGCCCACAGACCAGGCTTCCTATGCAGGGCTTTGGGCGTAGGGTTTGGGTTTGTGACCCCTAAACCCCTTTTGTTGTGGGGCCCTTTTGCAACAGGCTTTCCACTTCGCCCGGAGTTGGAGCAAGCAGCCCTAGCAGCTTCACTGCGGAGCCAGCTTTCGCATCCGCCGTGTGGCGGGGCCCTAAACCCTAAACTCTTTTGGGCTTAAGTTCTGGGTTTCGTGGGTGAGGTTTCCAAGGTCGAGTATAGGGTTTGAGCTTAGGGTTGGGCGCCTGGCGCCTTCCACTTCCCCCAAAGACCTAAACCCCTACACCCTGAAAGGGTATCGGCTTAGGGTTTAGGGTTTGTAAACCCTAAACTTTCTAGGGTTTAAGTTTTTGGGTCCCTAGACCCTGGAACCTCCAAAAACGATGCCTCTAAGGCGTTGCGGCCACGCCCAGCAGCCGAAGCGACATCTGCTAACCGTTGTCCGGTGAGAGTGGCCTCGGAGCTGGTTGAATGTTAAGGGGTCAGGCTTAAGAGTTTGGGCTTAAGGTTTCAGGACTTTTTTAAAATGCTTCTAAGGTTGTTGGTGAGATTTTGGACTTTTGCTGCATTCTCATTGCTTTGCAGCTTGATCTCGAGCAATCTTCAAGGAGGAGCTGGAGCTTTTGCCTTGCGTTACGTCCAACCATAGCTCAGTGTTGTCATTTATCGAGGCTGCCTGCACTCCTCAGCAATGTTTTCCTAAATTCCGGCAAGAAAAAAGGCCTCAACGCGTCGTCGGCCTTCGACTTACATAGCTAGCAAGCTGCCTGCAAGAGTGCTTGAGTTTCTGTCGGAGAAGAGTCGGACATTCTTCAGCTTACTATGATCCCCAACTCTGCATTCATGCCCGAAGCAATCACCTTGGACTGCGACTCCCGATCGTGACACGGCAAAGGCAAACGACTTTAATTTCTCAGGGTCTGTAGACAAGCATTAGCTCGAAAGATGTTAGGACCCTAAACCCTTCACCCCAAGGGCCCAAGATGTTAGGCTCAAGAATCGACTAGAACCCCCCTGGCCTCGGAGTGCCGCTAGACCCCGAGCCCTTGTTGGCATCTAGTCGCCGAAGTCGTCTCCCGGATCGACTGCATCGCATCCGCCGATGATGTTCGCAGCGCCAATTTCCTGGAATTTCTGATGCCTACAAACCCGAAGTCGTTGGGGTGCAAGGTTTCG